CACTGTGAATCTTCACAAGCGTCTTCATGGTGTTGGATTTAAGAAGCGCGCTCCACGAGCCATCAAGGAGATCAGGAAGTTTGCAGAAAAGCAGATGGGTACACCTGATGTTAGAATAGATACGCGTCTCAACAAGCAATTGTGGTCAAAAGGCATCAGGTATCTTCTCAATAAAACCTTTCAACAAAATCACTGAAAAGGTTCAAGTTTATATAAGAAGTTCCTTGATTATAATTCATTCAAATGCAACTTGTCAATCGTGTTAACATAGATTTAATCATCTTATATTGAATAGTCAATGACTATACTGAACATCTTTTAATATAAGAAAGTTTGTCAATTTAATCTCAAATTTATTATAACTTAGGATAAAGTCGTCTATTATGAGATATCTTTTTAAAGGCTTGTAATTTATTTAATTTGTAACCTGAATTTTTACCTTCATGTCAAATTTATGGGAAATATATTTAAGTTTTATCGCCAAAAGTTAGCAGTCGATAATAGCTATACTTTGTTGTATATGAAATTTTATCAAAAGTGTTGATTTTGATCATTCAAAAAAAGGGTTTCTAATATGAGATACAAGGGTTTTCTTATATGAGATGGTATCTCATAACAGGAAACTAAGGAAAAAATAAAGATAAGCTTTTTATATATGCTTTTATTATATTACATACAAGTAGGAGCAAAGAATTTAAATGTTATATGTAATAATTATATAATTTTTCAGTGCGCGCGCGCGCGAGTGTGTGAGTAATCTTAACAATAAAATCGTCATTTTTATCATTTCGTTTGATAGATATGATTTGAGATACTGAATTGTTTAGATGTTTTCATTAACTAGGAATACTCTGAGTATCTCATATTACAACTTCCATGCCTTGCAGTTTCATAAACACCAAATCTAATCTTTACAGTTAAACAAATCATTATATCACATGTTTTTCTATGAATACGATCTTACTCTTTCATTGCATACAGACTTTATTACTAATTATTTATTTTTATGTAATAAAACAAGATTTAAAGACTAATCTCAATAAAATTTAACAACATTCAATTTCACAAATCTTTTTTTGCAACGATTACATGCATGATCTAATAATGAATTTTCTATTAAACAGGTTTCACACTAAGAGTAAAAAGTTCATGATAGAACCAAACACATGCGCTTTTTAGTTTAGCAGGAATCCCTCTATCTCATATTAGGAACCTATCCCATAATAGGCGATTTTGCCCTATATTTTTTATGCAGTTACAAAAAATTGATTATATATATATATATATATGTATATAAAAATAATTCTGAGTATACTATACATTATTTCTCTCTTTTTTTTTCCAGGAATGTTCCCTTCAGAGTTCGTGTAAGACTAAGCAGGAGGAGGAACGACGATGAGGACTCTGCAAATAAGCTGTATACTCTTGTCACATATATATCTGTTTCATCGTTCAAGGGACTCCAAACTGAGAATGTAGATGCTAGCCAAGATTAATGTATTTCTATATAATAAATAATGATGAACTGAACTCGCAAGGTATTTCTCTTATCATATAATCTTATCATATATTTATGCTGAATCCTGATATATCCTGAACGATAGTAAAACCTACAATGTTTTATTTCTATTTTTATCAACTTTCAAAGTATTTTTCTATATTATGGAAAATATTTAAACCATTGGAACCTTGTTCCTCTTTGATGATTCATGATTTCTTGATATTTATTTCTTTCGAAAGTTATACCATTTTACCTAATTTCCTTTTTTTTCATAGTATTTTAATTTGAATAAAGAATTGAAAATTGTGATAATTTGCAGAAAAGCGAGGAATAACATTTCAACATATTAATCATTAGTAACGTACAAATAATTCACAAAAAGGGATTGAGATTACATATATTATTTATCTCATATAATTATCAAAACTGCTTATTCAAATATGTAGACGTAGATAGTTATTGATGAGGTATTGTTAAAATTGATCAGCGCTCTGCACAAATTTTTGTATTATGAGAAGAAGGATAGCTGATATTGAGTTTAAAAATGCATCGAAGATATATAAATTACAACTTATACCTAGTATTTCAACTTATACCAAGTGTCACTGTTTTATTATATAACTTTTAATTTACAAATCTCATTAAAAAGAAAAAAAAATAATTATAATTATAGCTCTATCAGTCAGTGATGGCAAAAAAATGAATTCGGTTACATATCCATTTTATTACTCTTTTCCAAAGGAAAATTAATATTAATTTCGCACCATAACATTAGCCAACTACTTCAGATATCCAATTTTAGCATCTCATTAATTGGAAGATTCATGTAAATAGCATATAGGTATTATAAACAATTGGCATATCAATGTCTCATACCGCACACGGGACTTTGCAGGCGTGAGTAATGAGGCGAATGTCCGCGTGCGCGGTGAACTTGGCGCGCATACGTACGTCTGCGTACATCCGCAGTGTGCGGCACTGTGCGGTATCGCGGATCGCGCGCTCGTGATTTTGCGCGACTAGCTGAGTCTTGGTCTGGTCAGTATGCGCCTGGTTCGGCACGGTCGTGGATCGCGGCATTGTGGTGCGAGGCGCACCGTCCACGATGGAGCTGCGCGAGATGAACCGCGCGTACGGCACTGCGGAGGAGACCGCCGAGCTCCTGCCGCAGCACGACAGCGCACCCGATTACGAGAGCTACTTCATCGAATATGCGATGCAGAAGGAAATGATCAATCGTAACCGGTGCCCGGCGAGCCGACGGTTGCTCAGCCAGGCCGCACACCTGGACTTCAATTTTCCCAATAGCAATCATTCCAAGGTTGGTCTTCCCTGGACGGGTCTCCCTGGAATCGCGGTTGTCCACGTCTCTCCTTCATTCTAGAACCTCCATTTAACAATCCCGGAAAAGTTTTTCCGCGCGAAACCGCCCTGTGCACCAATTCAACGGACACGAGCACGAGAATCTCGATATTCGTAAATGACGTTAATAATCAAAAAGAGAGACACTGGGACGCTGAGGATTCGCGTGTCTTAAGATTAGAATATTGCATTGAAAAAGCAGAGCTTCAAAGATACTTACATATTTCTCTTCTTATCTTTCTTTCTTCAACTTGAAAGTTGACGATCTAGGAGAACCATATAAAAAACCTTATTCTGCACATCTGTGCATGTCAATCATTTTTTGTTTTAACAATCTCAGCATTATTTTGGATCACACATCACGCCGCTGTATATTACATAGGATTACTAAATACTCTTTGATAAATAAATACTCTTTGATGTTTTTTAATGTTTTATTAGTAGGTATATAAATATATATATATATATACATACGTGTTTTTTACAAGAATACGACTTTACACGCGCGACATTCATTAATTTATAAATTTCTCACAATTGTAATTAATTTATGAGAATATATATTTATTACTATTAATTTATTATTATCTTCATTGATATTTAATTATATTAAATTAATATTTATTAATATATTATTATTATCTTCATTTATATTTAATTATATTAAATTAATATTTATTAATATTTGTTTATTTAATATTTATTTGATATATTATTAATTCTTTGTCATACACGATTTGGAAGTTAGACATTTCATTCAACTTCTGTGAGCTCTCTCTCTCTCTCTCTCTCTCTCTCGTCGTAAATTTATACATTCCTTAAATAGATCTTTTAATCTTTTCTCTTTTTACATTCGGAAAGCAAAAGAGATCTTCTTCTTGGTGACTCTTATGGATTTATGTTTTCTGAACAAGTCATACACATGTAAATTAGAATGAACAGTGTCTCTACAAAAGTCTCTTAAATTTGTTAATTTGATCTCTGTCAGGATTCACCATGTGCCGGAATCACCATGATCCACACTTCGAGTGAGAACTGGCCGCCCTCCAGAAAACGCGAAGAGGCGAAGGCCTTGGAAAATCTTAGAAAGAGGGTAGAACAGAGCAAGTTATACAAGACGGACCGAATTACCGATCCCGTCATAGCCACCACGTCCTCGATAAACTACGAGCTGACTCAACAACAATTGGACAATCGACCGAAACTTCTGAAAAAGGTAGACGATGAAAAACACGCTCAGAAAGATACTACCTCGTTCGATTTAAAGTGAAATGATTTCGATTCTAGATAAACTCATTTGATAATTTAGTCTCTTTTCCTTCCTTCTTTCTTTTTTCTTTAGCGCGTTTCTTTTCTCTCGAGAATCACGTTTAATTGCTAGATGATCTAATGAATTGGGGACTTGGATTCCAAATTGTGTTAACTCTGAAAGATCAAGATTGCATTGAATATATTTTCTAAAAAGATAAGAAATTGTCATGCTGCATTATCAAATGTCTAATTACTATTCTGTCATTTTTAAAATAATTGCGAAATGTGAAATTGATAGTAATAACAATGAGATCGTGTTTTTTTTTTGTACATTCAGGCAACTAAAGATGAACGTTACGCGCCGGATACGTCTCAGGTTCGCGGAATGTAATTTTCATTGTGTCCTTGGCTTATTCGATATGCGACTGTTTTCGAAATGGAATATGAAATCAAAAGAGCGAAGGAGCACACGCGCAAAGTACTTGGGTCGATACTTTAAAGTCAGGAGCGGCGCACTGTTGTCTCGGCTCCTATGCATGATCCTGCCGTACAGGATAATAAATACAATTGGGAAACTGCACCATTGGTTTATACCTATACAGTCTTTCGTTTTAACGACTTTTCGGTTTGACCATTTGCACGAAATTATTCCACACGCGAATTAAAGCTTCCTTCGTATTGGGATCTGAGGTGATGCGATGCTCCGAGCCTGAAGACTGAATATCACAGTGGCCTTTAAATTTTAAAAGAAAATTAGGATAAAAGATGTAGATATCTAAAATTTTATTCAGAATGCAGTAATAGTTCAAAATTTAAGAATTTAGGGTAATTGTGCAGTATAAAGGACCATCCTCCAATGACCTTGACCTTGACATATGTTGTCAAGGTCATGACCTCGAGTGACTTTGAACAAATTTTAGCCGTCGCTCGTTGTTCGTTAAAAAGTTATTAACAAAAAAAGTTCTTCAATAAAACCCAACTTTTGGACATGACTGCGCTCCGATGAGACAAATTCCCTGCTTTAATCCATATAAAAAGAATGGAAAAGGTGTACATTATACATAATAAAATATTTCCTGCTTTACAAACACAAATTCTTCGCTTTAAAACCACATTTTTTTTCCTTTAAAACGCAAATTCTATGCTTTTAAAAATACAAATCCTTTGTGCTCTAAAGACACATATTATATAAGAAAATATTTTGCGCTGTTAAAGCAGAGAATTTGTCTCATCGGAGCGCAGTCACGTCCAAAAGTTAGGTTTTATTGAAAAACTTTTTTTGTTAATAACTTTTTAACGAACAACGAGCGACGGCTAAATTTGTTCAAGGTCATTCGGGGTCATGACCTTGATAATATATGTCAAGGTCATTGGAGGATGGTCCCTTATATTGCATAATTACCGAATTTAGATATCAATGGAAGAAACTCAAAAGAAATTATGAATATTTAATTCACAAGTCCGATGATTTCAAGATTTAAAAATTGTATAACTCGCGCGTAAGTCTAAAGTTCAAGGACATAAGATTTCAAGAATTTATCTAAATCTGCGAATTCAGGAATTCGCAAGTTTGAAAATCTACATTTTATAATTCAAAAATCTCAAGATTCATGGCCCTTACAAAAATTTAATACTGGAAGGTAGTGATTAATTACAGATTATAAGCACTGAAAAATAGTACTTTTAATGCTTAAAATAGATAATTAATCATTATCTTTCAATATATTAAATTGTTCAATATTGAATTGGATTTCTATAAGGACGGTATTCGAAGATTCAAGAAAGCAAGCGCCTTCGATCAAAACATAAGAATAGAGTTATACGATATCGCGTGCAGCATATCGTAGTAAATCGTAGATGGAATGATTGCCTTGCATGTTTCACAAGGAATTTTCTTGCAGATACTAAGCAACCGACCGATGAGTATCACATACGATAGGAGTGACTTGGAAACCGATTGGCGCGACAGCGAATTTATCACCGAGTGTCTTTGCTGGCACAACGTTTATCGGCAACGGCATAACGCACCTCCGTTGACTATGTCACCGCAGGTAGTAAAACAAAAACGATAAAGGGCACGAAAACGACAGAAAGCCATGCCATAAATTTAAATGATACTTATACTTAATGTGTATTTATAATATATACGTTATTACTCAACGTGTTGCAGTTGTGCGAGTACGCTCAATCATGGGCGAATCATTTGGCGCACACGAACACGTTCTATTATAAAAATGATCGGAACGTAGGTCACAATCTTTATTGTCGTCCTGGTGGTGCGGTACCTGGCGATATCACGGGGCAGGAAGTCGCGTCTTACTGGTATTCCGCTGTGAAACAATACGACTTTCTCAAGGAACCGGATATTCTCCACGCTAATGTAAACGCAGGTAGAAAAGAGATTATAGTGTCTAGAATTTAAAAGCTATCAACTATGACTTAGAGATGAAAGAAGATAAGTGTTATAAATGTTTGCTCTTTAATTTATTTATATAATATATAATTTATTTATATTATATTATATTATATTCGTAGATACATGCTGAATTTTAATACATATCTAATTAATTTAACTTATGGAAAATGATTCGTACAAAGGAGCATCTTCCTAGGTCACTTCACTCAGCTAATATGGGCGAGAAGCTGTTACTTTGGAGTCGGTAAAGCATGTAGCAGAAGCGGCAAGGTGATCGTATATTTATATTATTTTATATTATATTCGTAGATACATGCTGAATTTTAATACATATCTAATTAATTTAACTTATGGAAAATGATTCGTACAAAGGAGCATCTTCCTAGGTCACTTCACTCAGCTAATATGGGCGAGAAGCTGTTACTTTGGAGTCGGTAAAGCATGTAGCAGAAGCGGCAAGGTGATCGTGGTGGCAAACTACGAGCCGGTGGGCAACATGTCCGGTCAGTTTCAGAACAATGTATTTCCGCCGTTACCTGAGAATATGAACGTGATGCTATCGCCACCCGCTATTCGGATGCCGCGGGGACAGTACGAACTACTGAAATCCACGGCATCATCCTTGCCGCCATTGTTACCGCTTCCGTTGTCGGATACCGCGTCCACCGCCAGCGATACTACGTCCGTCAGCTCCGGCCAATAATACCATGGCCGTACAAAATGCCTTCTCTGTATTTGCGCGCGATGGGCCAGACATTGAAGAGATCGAGAGAAAGGTCGACTCTTCGCGTGCCGCGAATCAAAGACTTCGGACACATGACGAAACACGATGACCGATGTCTCTGTTGGAAAGAGCGTTTCAGAAGCTTTTCATTCATTTATTGATACATATCTCTGGAAGGCTTTTGAAGTTTCTTACAAGTTAAAAGGTGATGCGGCTAGAAATGCCAGGTCGACGATATGCGCTAGCTCAATTATCATCACAAACTCAAAGTTGCAACAATAAGACAAAAGTAATGTTGCAATATTTTCTAATAGTCAATTGACTATTGTTGCAATTTTATCCCAACTCAACCATATTCAATAATTTTCCATGGAAATGTTGGTCATCAGGTTTTACTGCCAGGTTTCAGCTACGCTTGCAAAAGCAGTGATAATCAAAGTTATACCGAGCTTCGTTGTGATAGCTGGTAATATGTAATACAAATCAAGCAGTACAATCTGCGATGTAATTATTGATAGTGGCGCAACTTTTTATCTATTTATGCATCCTATATAAAAAAATAATGTTAATGCACTGCATGCATGCGTGCGTGCATGCGTGCGTGCGTGCGTGCGTGCGTGCGTGCGTGCGTTAGACTGACAAGGAAAAAAAATTTTTTTTTAATCGGCCTCAGATCAAAAGCCTCCATTTCATACTAAAAAATACCCCCTTTGTAATAAAAAATAATTTTTATTTAAAAATATTAAGATTTAGAAGTCGCTAGCGAACGATTCTTAAATCGAAGTTTCGATTTTCCTTAATATATGTTTGATTTGATGCAAAAATGGCTTAATCCGGATTTTAAATGTACTGTATGTTTTTTTGATCACTGAACACGCTGCAATAATTCATTTAGCTCTACGTCTTAAGAAATACAGCCCAATTAATGTGAAAAAAATGGCAAATTTCGAGTTCAAGATCAATTTTAGCAAGGTTCCAATCGTTCAAATGAGTCGTTACTCCCCTCAAATTGTAGGCCTGTTCATCCAGAACAAGATTCAGTAGAAACTCGATTTCAAAAAAATATTTTTAGTGTTTATTAGAACACGAGTAAAATTTCTCATAATGCTACACCTTTTATTTTATCTTGTATGATTTTCAAACACGAGAAACTGAACTCCATCACGTCCGTCTGGTGGCGATCCCGCGTACTGCTCGCGAATGAATGATGCGAAAAAGGATCAAAATAACGGAAAAATATATTTTTCATGTTGTCTTTTTGGTAATACGAAAAAATATCTTTTAGTTGACTTTTTTTGCTTTGCGAAAATGACAACCATAGAAAGATAACGAAAAGATGTCTTTTTTTTTTTAGATAAAATTTACCTTTCGACAAAACTAAAAGATGTCTATAAGACATCTTTTCGTCTTGCTCAAAAGACAATCTAAAAACGATCTTTTCGCTTTGTCGAAAAGACAACTTAAGAAAGATCTCTTTCGCTATCTTTTAGTATTTTGTGCTGTCTAGGGATATACGCCTCAAGAAATATAGCCCGATTAATGTGAAAAAATGACCAAATTTCGAGTTCAAGGTCGATTTTAGCAAGATTCTAAGCGTTCAAATGGGTCGTTATTCCCCTCAAATTATAGGTCTGTTTATCCAGAACAAGATACAGCCAGAATTTTCCCGGGACCTCTTACAGGGTCTTTAAAAGATTTATTTAACTGAATTATAAAACGTTTTTAAGGATAGAAAAAATCTATTTTCTATCCTTAAAAGAGTTCTAAAGTATATCGAGCGAAACGAAAAATATCGATACCGAGATTTAGGCTCGACAAAAACAAATGATTGATACAATTTTCTTGTCTCGATGGGCCGATATTTTCGCTTGTCAAGATTCCCGAATTTTATCTCGAGACATTCGAGAGAAAATATCGACTATCTCGTTTCATTTATTTGAAGTATTTATATAACCTGGCAGCACATTATATAATTATAACTGTCATAAAGATGTCGAGACAAGACGAAACGAGGCGAGAAAAACAAATGACTGATGATAATCTCGGAAATGTTTCTTTTAATGACACGAGAAGTTCTGAGACGATATTCCGAGATTCCCGTATCAAAATGCATCACTATTTAGAACTTGTAAAAAAATTTTTTCTATCCTTAAAAACGTTTTATGATGCAATTAAATGCAACTCTTAAAGGTCCTATAAGAAGTGCCTGGAAAATTCCAACTAGATCTTGTTCTGGGTGAACAGACCTACAATTTAAGGAGAATATCTACCCATTTGAACCTTGCTAAAATCGACTTCGAACTCGAAATTTGGTCATTTCTTCATATTAATCGGACTGTATTTCTTAAGGCGTATATCGTAGAGCTGAATGATTGTATCGTGTTCAGCGATCATAAAAACATATAATATCACATTTAAAATCCGGTTTAAGCCATTTTTGCATCAAATCAAACATATATTAAGGAAAATCGAAACTTTGATTTAAAAATTGTTCACTAGCGACCTCTAAATCTTAATATTTTTTAATAAAAATTTAGGGGTCTTCTTTGTGGCATGAAATGGAAGCTTTTGAACTGAGAGGTCGATTAAAAAAAATATTTTCTTTTTTCCTTGTCAGTCTAGTATACACTCTGTATACATATATATATATATATATACATACATACATACATACATACATACATACA